CTGTACTGGAAGTGAAAATCTTTAGATTTGAGCTAGGTGTTGGGCTCCAAAATAGGAGATGGAGGGAAGGGAGGTGACAGCTGTGGGGCTGAGGGGCAGGGGCAAGAGATGGGAGAAGAAGAGAGATATATTCTGCTGATCTGTGAGAATGCCAAGAAAGATTCCAGATCTTTAGGAATGCTAAGAGGTGGAATACTTGTGTTGCCAAATCTCACATTAGTCTCAAGTACCAGCCCTTAACAGTCATAAAGTAACTGCTGTGGTCTCAGGGGCTTGCTACAAAAGAACAGTGTCTTTTTGGCTAATATTATTAGAAAACCATTTACCTTTCCAGTATCCAACAACTTTGATCCTTTCAAAAAAGGGAGGAAAAAGCAAAATGGGAAAGGGAATCAGAGGAAGAAATGGATTCTGGACTGTTAACTTTTTAAACCATGACTTCTAGGGAAACCACTCTGGGACAGAGGGACACAAAACACAAACTCTCCCAGACTTACAAGGCAGCCTTCCCCTCTTTTGTCCATCATTGTACCAGAAAATAAATATATTCATCCTGTCACTCTTCTTCTCATTGGGTGTTATAATAATGATCATGCTTTGTTTTGAATTCTCTGGCAATTCATGGATAAGCTGCTAATAAGTAGCAAATATTTATAACGGTGACCATAGGTAATAGAAAGAAAATATATAGTCCTATATCTAGTCACAGGATTCAGTAGAGTCCTGTGCATATCCAGGACTTATCACACAGTTGCAATGAAAGTGTCTGCACAATTTTGTATGGTAACTCTTAAAAACTTAATGGTCTGTGCTAAACCTACTTCGATTTCTACTGCTGTGCGTTTGTATGATGTATAGAATCTGGTAGTGAGAATAGCCTTAATTGATTTTATTTGCAAGGTTGACTCAGCCAATTCATACTTACCCTTTAAAAACCAAGTTTACATCGGTTTATAATACTCACTTTAGATATAAACATGTATATTTCACAGAATGGGAAAATTATGATGTTTAAAGTCTTCCCAGATTTATATTTATTTAGGATTTCTTTTAGGGATTTCAGTAATGTTATACTAATTTCCTTCTTTTCCTAGGTGTGTGACAGTTTTTTGTTACTAGTTGAATAGGATATTGTTTTTCTCAACTCTCTTGTG